CAGTGGCGTTCCTGTTGTCAGTTTCTATCCAGATTGCCTGAGTGAATGTGTGGAGGTGTAGGCACCTCGGAATGATTGTGTTAAGCTAGCACTAAGTCCCTCCCCCATCCACCTTTACTCTTTTCTTTACAATAAGGCTTTCAAATAAGTCATGGTTGTACGGCAGTGAAGCATCGGTGTTGAACAGTTATGTCATGCTGTCGATGATGATGATGAAGCATAAGTGTTTGAACCCTGATGTTGTGGTGTCCTTGATGATCACGATAATTCAAACGCCCCCCGGGACGCTTGACGCAGTTTCCTCGCCTAACACAAACCAGTTTTGCATCATTGTGATGTGGTGTCATCGTGTGACATTTCGTTTCCGACCGGATTCGCTCGAACGATTGATTCCTTTCCTTTTGCCTCGTGGAGTCAGTTATAGTCACTTTGTGGCCCCTAGCAGTTTTCTAAACCGTGTATCACTTTCTCTCCCACCTGTCTACAGGTTTTGATGTGTGGTGGGTGGCGGCCTTTTTCACTTTCCTGGTGTTGGTCCTCGTGTTCGTCGTGGTCCAGGTTGTCTTGTATTTCTGTGAGAAACGTCGTCGGGGCGAATTGCAATCTGGCAGTTGGCCTGAAGATAAGGAAGACCGACGCAGAACGCAGGAAGGACCGTCCGAAGCCGGTTCACCCAAATGTCTGCTGCGGTTGCAGACGAAATTGGAATGTTGGATGTCTCGGGTGCGTCTGTGCAGTCTAGTTGTCTTCGTTCGTTTGCTTCTGAGCCGTAAGCTTGGGGCATTGTGTTTGTCTTCACAAGCTTTCCTAGTTTTCAGAGGACTCTCCACAGGGTCCGCTGTTTGTAGGCTTTGCTTGTGGCATCCTTTCGGTGTGTAGCTGCCATCCTACCCGTGAGTGAATCAAGTGTGAGGTGCTACGAGACCCGCAGTCCTACCTAATCGATCTCACTCGATCCTCGCAGAACTGGACCTTTCAGTAACTCGTGCTTTAACTCAAGGTTTGTCTCTTTAGTTTGCCGTGTGAACCGTGAGTGACCTTATGTGCGAGTCCATACTTTGTACAGAGACACCCAGTTTCTCCCCGCATGTGTAGTGTTGTGACAGATGAATCCTCTGATATTGAAGGCGACAGTGAAATGCATTTTCTTTAAGCAGCTGGTGATTGCCGTCTTCCTGGATGAGGACCCCGAGACCGGCCATATCGATGGTTAGAGACATTGTCAGACATGGCCCAGTCGCGCCCTCAATGGCGCTCGTTCGTGCAAGCTATTGCCCCTTCCCAATCTCCTCACTTTACAGTTCAATGAGGGTGGTGGGGGGTTTATTAAAATGACGGCTAGATAGCCCAGTAGTTAAGGTGCGAACCTACTGACCGTAAGGTCCGTGGTTCGAGTACATCTCGACTGCTCCTGTCTGGGCTTGGGCGACCTGGCAGTAGCTCAACCCCATTCGGTTGGTATGGCTACTGTGCACTGAAAGGGTATTACAGACG